CCCTCTCTCTTTTTAATTGGACTTGAAAATATTACTGAAAGTTGGGACTGCTTCTATGAGTTTTCAAACTTCCCAAAGACTTCAGCCTTGCCTAAGAACTTAACATAGTGGAAAATTCTTTTCCAGAGAATTTGATGAAATTCTAATGCTGTGTTCTGAACAGTATTTCTTTTTGCTTAAACTAACCCGGAAATTAATGCTATATAGGGCATTAATGACCAAAGTAGGTAAAATTATTGTACATAAAACCCTTAAATATTGCCAATAAAATTTGGGAAAATGCTGTGTTTCTGTTAGAGGACAATTGAAATTCTATGAGAGTGTTTTATCAGAGTGGTCTATCTTAGATTTATAATGATAGTATTTTACCACAGAAGTCTCTATAGTTTATGGATGTTTTTTATTATAATAATATAGTTTAAATTATATCTATATTTAACTTTGAAAAGAACCAGAATCTTTATAAATGAAACTAATATGCCAGCCTACTATTGAATAGTATCTGCTAATGCCATCATTTTAATAATAAAATTTGGAAGAACCACTATGTCTTAGCAAATATACTAGTTGTATTTTAGTAATTTATAATTTGTTGGAGTTTATTCATCCTTCTAAATATTATTTCATATTTTTCCCTAAATATAGGGTAGATTTCACCTAAAATTTCTGACTTTGCCTAAACAGATGCTACTGGCTTTATTAAAATCAAATGAACACACTCAGACATGAAAACACTAGCTCAGATCCAGTAAAGTTACAAATGTTCTTAAATCATGTTTACATTTAATGTTTTTGGTCATTTTTAAAAGCTTTCCTAAGTCATCTAAGTTCCTGAAAATACTTGAATATTAAGAGGAAAATACTACACTGATAACTATTTTTCGTCTAAATTTTTATGGTAAAAAAAAGTAATTATTTTAACATTAAAACATAATAAACTTGGAATTTTAGTAGCACCTTGACTTTAAATTTTAGTAACTATTTCACCCTTCTGATGAATCAAAATTTTAAGCCAACACAACAGGTTATCAATAGATCTAGAAGTTAATGGGGATTTATTAACAACAATTTATTATTTATTAACAACAATTTATTTATTTATTGTGTTTGGAATAACAATTCCTTTTAATGATCCTAGTGAATAATTATTAATCACTCAGCTTCTTAAATATGTTTACTGGTTGCTTTCTACTTAATGGACTCATAAAATTTTTAATTTCCCATGTTTTAAAGTTTTTGGCACTCATCAATTTTAAATTGCAGGGTAATGTCTCAATTAAAAATTTCTCTGATATATTTAGACATATTCAAGATATCTTTATGCCCCCCTACTCATTTTATGTACCTCAGTTACCATTTCAAACATAGCTAAATAATATAGACATGTTGGCAGAATATGTGCTTGTTAAACTGTACTTACAGATACAATTTTTAGTTTAAAAATACTAAAAAATCAACAACAGAAATTTTTAAAAAGCTCTATGTAGATATAAAATTGTCTTTGCAATTAAATTAATATTAATTTATTAATTTAACTATTAATATTAAAGTATTAGCACAACTTTTTAAAAATGTAAATACTCTTAAATTCCAAAGATAAATGGATAGAAATACAGAATGTTGATTTCACCCATTTTTATCACTTCAGCTTTGTCTTTTTGAAACTATGGAAATAGCCTACAAAATATGCAGTTCTTTTGGCTATTATAAAACACACATGAAAAGTGTTACAATTTGCTTGGCCTGGAGATGGCAAATCAGTGATGGCAAAAAAGCAAAGGAAGAAAAGTGCTCGTCTGAGGCAAATAAAGGTGAAAGTTGGCCCTGGTTTTTGTGAACATTCACGTCTACAAAATAATTATAAAAGAAGAAAAGGAGATGCTCGTACTTTTCTGCGAAGGTCTTTATCCGGGAGGGTATTTGAATTTACCTTTCTTGTCTTCTAAACAATTATCCAAAACAACAATAACCCAGAGGAAAAGACTAAACTTGAATTGACTACTGGGACATGCTACACTTCTGAGCACTTAAAATATGTATTGATTTGGTAATTCTTGTGACTAACTGGTTTCGTGCTTAACATGAATACTGCTGGCCAACTTAAATAGGGCTTAAGATATTTTTAATGACTATTTAAAAATGTTAAATATGTTTACAATTAAGTCTATAAAATAGACTCACATTCAGAGGAATTAGTTCAATTATGGTCGTTCAGAGGTAAATCAGCAATCAAAATATTTTTCAATAGGAAAATAGTGTTTACTAACCTTGTGAGTACTTTGGGAAAATTTGGAATTTAAAAAACTACACACTAAGAAGTCCCTTATACTGAGGTACTATTTAAATAACAAATGTCTAGGAGTTCAGGATTTTTAAAGGGTTCAACAAGTTCCAAAGATCCCAACTGAAAGCAGTCATCCTTAGAGCACTGGGAACAATAGTACATATCCTGAATCAATAAATCTCCTGAGTGTTTGAATACTTCTAATTTCCAACAGCAGTTAAAAAATATCACAATTTGAATTTAGATAAGTTTATTTTTAGCTATTTAGCATTCAAAATGATAACCCTTGGTCAACCATAATGATTGATTTTAAATATTAATGATTGCTTTGTGTTTAATCTTTAATTCACTGTTGGGGTTCACATTAAATGAAATTTTAATAAAATGTCACAAATTTCATGACAGAATGATTCTTAAATATTATAAAAATATTAACATCCAATTGAATTGTTATGCTTCCAATACTTCAGCTCTGTAATTTAATTTTCTACTGTGAGTAGCTTATTAAATATATACCTCAATGAAAACAATTAAAATTGTTTAGTAAGGATTCATTCAATCATAGTTGTAATTAATGGAACTAGCCCTTCGGCTGACCCGGTTGCAGATAGTTTTATTTTGAAAAAACTTTATCATATTATTAAAATCTCTATGAGATTTATTTTCTAGAATTCTGGGAATTTCTTTAAATCCTAGGATTACATTAGTTATGTCTATAAGAATCACAGCCAGGGTAGCATTAAAAATACAGCGAAAAAACAAAACAAAACATAAGCACTAACTGAAACCAAGATGAACTGAAAGAATCAGTGGGCCATTCTAGAGACTCCATTTAAACACCAGGTAAAAGTCCACAGTAGAATGAGATGTGTCAAGTAAACATAATATGTACTTTGATTTAGAGAGAAAATCAGAATTCTATGTCATAAGAAAGTTGGAAAGAGAAAAAAAAATAATAATAAAGCAAGAAATATTTATTGCTTATAGGTGACAATACTTTAAAAATCAGAATATTTTCATTACCAATCTAGAAACTTATTGTGCCTTTGAAATTAAAGAATATCCATATAATCTTGTTTAAAAAAACTCTAAATTCTGCCAAATTTGGTCACTATTATGAGCCCAGAGTACTTAAGTAGTTGTACAATGTTTACTACAGTTATCTGAATAGGTCTAATTCCTTTCTCACTTATAAAATTTTACTTATTTATGTGAGATTTAAGCAAGTCAACAGAAAACAGTATTTTAAAAATCTAAACTTTATTGCTCAAGAAACACTTTATATCAGCTTCCAGTTCTGTCCTTCCTTTTATTGGGTGCAGGGTACCTTTTAAACAAATATCAAATGTAAAAAATGAAACACATTTTGATATTGGGTAAGATATTTACATGTATTAGAAAACATGCAAAATGGGTAGAGAGAGACTACGGGGGGGATATTGTTAGTTCAAAGAACATGGACGAATTTCAGTCAAAACGTGGGATGGAACATATCAAAAGTCAGTCCAAGGAAACAACAACAACAACAAAAAAAAGCCTCTCTTTTTAAAACATTTTAATGGCTGGTATCAAAATGTAAAACGACATTCATTTGTTTAAAAAATTAAAAATGTATATTTATATGTAACAACAAGCAAGAAGACAAAACACATCAAAAACGAGAATTGAAAACAACTCTTCAAAAAAAGACAAGAAGTAAAAAAATAGAAAGGGGTGGAAAAAGCGATCGAGGCCCTTGTCATGCAAGTAGATTGGGTGGAAAAAATACCTTCATCTTCAGCACCGTCATTATCACCTAAATCATCTGTCTGTTTCTTTGTAAGGGGACCTAGGATTGAGAATGGAGAAATGGAAGGAAAAAAAAAAAGACAATTCAAGAATAAACAAGACTGAGGGGAAAAAATAAATGTAAATACTAAAATTCTCAAGGGTATTTCCAAAAAGAGTGGGGAAGTGGTTATATTAAAGTTGATTATCTATTTTGTTTAAGAAAAAAAAATATCCCTTTCCCCCAAAATACCTCATAGAAGATTTGATTTGTGAATATATCCAGCATTGAAAAAATACATTATGGTTTGAAACTCAAGTCATAAACGAAGAAAATGATTTTTAATACCCATTGCATACAAAAAAGTAAACATTTTATTAGCTGAAAGAACTTAATTTATTGTGTCTTTTCTAATTAAAATTGGTGACAACAACAAAAAAAGTAGGCTAAACTCATTCTTTAATTTGGGACAATATAAAACATTAGGGAAAACAGAGAAACGAACATTTTTAGGGTGTTTTTTCCCTTTTTCTTCTGTTATTATTGTAAAAGAATTAACACTTGGGTCTTACACATTTTTATACCATACATTATTCAAAACTGTGACTTTTTAAAATTACTTGTCATTAAATAAATATTTCCCCATGTGTTTCGATTAAATTTTAGCTGTGGATGTAAGACATTTGCAAACTGTACAAATGTATGAACAGATAATCTGGTCACCTGGTAGGGCAAAGGTACCATCAATGGAAGGCAGTGTTTAACTATAAAGGTAAGTTACAGAATCAGGACTTATATTTCATAGTTAATTCAGGAATATAATGGAATTATACCCTAGTGTTATTTCATGCCCCATATAGTTATTTATAATGAGATCATGTCTTCGGATACTAATTGCTAGAATGAAGGAACACACCAAAGGGGAAGTCAAGGCCATATGAAAGTAATTTTAAGTGTCACATAATTGACATATTCCGCACAAAAAAAGCAAGTGAAGCCCCACATTTCTCTTTCTGTAACCATTTAATTTGTATGACATTTCATAATCCTCATGCAAAAAGCAATCATTACAAACACAAGACAGTCAAGTTAAAAGACAGCCAACCACATAGCAGTAAGCAAGAGTTTTGTCATGCATAAAATAAGTCATGGAAAAGGGAGGGAAAAAAGACTAAAAGGCATATGTTGATTTCAATAAAAGAAATAGAAAAAAAAGCAGGCATTAATTCTAAGCGCACTTCATAGGGAAGGATTGTTAAACATTTTTGAGAAAGAATTCTATGTCTGTTCTGAGATTGTTATGCATTCTGTTTATAATTCAAAACTACATCTAATATCATAACCTTCAAAGAATGAAAAATACCATCACAGAAAACAGAAGGAAAAAAAGAGATATAATACAGTTATGTTTCATCAGCTCAGAGAGACAACATTGAAAAATATTAATAATTGGCAAAGGTCAAAAGATTGGAAATGGAGAAATTGATCATGTAATTGAAATGACCTGTTGACTACTCCTTTGTAAGGTTATGGTTTCAAGGTCATTCCAAACACAGACATAGTAGCTACACACAATAATTTAAGTGATATACTTTCATAGTCACTCCTGCAAGCAATTGTTCCATTAGGAAGAAACCAAGATGAAAGCAACAGTTTACGTTAACTGACACACAGTTGAAAGCTCCCAGAATTCTACTTTTCTTTAATATGATCCTGTTTAAAATGCAGAAAAAGCCCTCAGTATTACTTGATGTTCATGTAACACTATTGCTACATTTCTGAAAAACAGAAATATTTTAATTTAAAATTTAAAAATGCTGTTATCAGATCTATATTTGAAATATTTCCAATTTTAGAACATGCAAAATATTAGACTTAGAGAATGGTATTTTCAAGTCTTTTATTTTTCTATAATTACATAAAGCAATAGATGAACACACTTCAATAAATATATTTTCTTGCATTTCTATTTTCAAAGTCATGGTTTTATCCACTGGTTAACACAGATTTAGTATAAGGTAAATATTTATTGCTGTCAAAACAACTATCTACTTCCAAATTTCAGTTAAATTTCTTAATTTGCTTAATTCTTGATTTTATTAATATGAGCTCAATTTTTATTTTCTTTTTGTTGAATCACATGTAAAACCTATCACAATTAAATTACATCACTCTGGCTTGGCTGACGTGACTCAGAGGTTGAGCATGGACCTAGGATCCAGGAGATCGAGGTTCGATTCCCCTTCAGGGCACATGCCTGGGTTGCGGGCTCGATCCCCAGTCGGGGGCATATGGGAGGCAGCTGACCAATGACTCTCTCATCGTTGATGTTTCTCTCTCTCTCCCTCTCCTTCCTCTCTCTGAAATAATAAAGATATATTTAAAAAAAAAAAAAAAAGATCCTGCTCTTTAAAAAATAATAATAATAAGTCACTCTCTTCACTTTATGTAGGACTTTATAAGGTATCTCTCTTGGACAATTTAGAAGGAAGTATTTTTCTCTCCCTTTCTAGGCTACCCAAGGCAATTTACATGATTCTTTGGGAAATCCTTTAGGTTCTAAAACCACCAGCCAGTAACATGCTTTGCACACATACAGAATTGTTAGCTTTTGGTCTACATAACATGTGATAGTAAGAGAATTTTTATTAAAACATGATCCCCCACTTGTGTGGGTCTGTATAAGCAGAGAAGCCACGGAATTGCTACTATTTATACAAAGAGAATTTCTCCCTGGATGGAATGGTTGACCCAGCTTTTTGCAACATATTTACCATCACTTTCCCTGCTCAGGAGGCCGCATGCCTCTTAACTGATGTGGGCTAATGACTACATAGGTAAGCTGCAAGGGACATCTTCTCCTGTAGGACTCTGAAGAGTCAGCCACAGATCCAGATATTGCTTCAGCATCGTAAATAGATGGGACATCATTCTCTTAGAGAAGAATTAAGTCCAATTCTCCCAAGTAAACAATTTCATTTACTGAGTATTAAATAAAACCTTATTATTAAATGATATCAAATTGTTCCCACAGTATGGGTTCCAGCAATATCTGTGATTTCAGAATAACTGGTTTTTTTAAATATCAATAATTTTTTAACATCTGGTTTTTGAAGGTTCTCTGGGAAAAACAGGGCTGATTACAGTTTGGGGCAAAACTGATTATAAAAAGAAAGAAAACAGATGTCTTTTATCTCCTATGCCTAAAAGCACTGAGAATCAGTATCCTAGAGGGTCATGGTGTGACGCTGAGAAGGTCAACATTGGTTTCTCTAAGGGAGCCTCAACAGAGTCCACATATACCAGTGAATTACCAAAACCAATCCCAACCTGCTCTCAAGGCTCCTTACTCCCAAGCTGGGAAGAAGACAGCCCAGTGCCTTGAACTCCCTTCTCTCTAGGATATCAGCAACTCTGGCTCATTTTTCCTTTATTCTAAACTGTTACAATTGATGTAATTTCTGATGTTTAAAAAAATTTAAATAGAAAGAAAATATTGCAAGAGCTAATTGTCATTAATTTTCTTAAGAATAATAGGTAGCCACGTTTTAGGGACCACTCATTCCTGCAAGTTGATCAGCGCAATTTTCCCTGAAGGGTAAACCATTTATCCTTCAACAGAATAACAACTGTTAACAACATTCCAACTATGCCTCTTTTAAACTACAAACAGTGCATTTTCAATACCAGCAGTCTAAATGAGTAACTTAAAGAGCCAACTTAGAAAGCAAGTGAGTGCTCTAAAACCTGGGCGTAGAAGTGATTTATTCTGCCTTTGAGCTCTGTAGGGTCTGTGCTCCTTGAGGAATGCACACATAACTCTCATTAGAGTTAATGGGAAAGGAGACCTCACGTCATTTTGAAAGGGAGTGAGAGTAATTACTATATTTTATATCTCCTATAGGCAATCAATAGAATCAGTGGGGAAACAACAGGACCAAGGAAAGTACAGGGCACTCCTAACTGTGAACTTTGAACTCCTTTAAATCCAAAATAGTTATTTTGCCATTACCATAAGCATGATTCAAAGTATCAGCCTTTATAAAGGACATTCTTACATTTCAGAATCTGACCACGTGCCTCTTATTTTTTGAAAAAAAGAATAAAAATATCAGCATTTCTCTGTAGTTAACTAGGAAATGATTATGAGCTCTGAAATAATTACTATCCACCCATATTAATGTGGCTTTTTATCATTCCCTTTGATGAAGGGCTAATATACTTTAGATCTCAAATACATTAAAACTGATTATAAATTCCTTCATTATGGGCTCAATTCAGCAGAAATCATCTGTATTTTGTGTCACACATATCTGCAAGAGGCAAGTAGGTTGAGGATATTATTAGCTCCTGTGTTGGAAAGCTGGCCATGAGAAATGTGTCCTTAAGAGAACAAGTTTTTGAAAATTTTCAGATTATTTAGGGCTCGAGGTTCCAGTGAGTTCCATCTTGATAGATGGGAGCCCTGGCTAATGACCTTGCTCTCTTTACTTTCTCCACCTTCTCTACTCAGCAGCCTTTGAGATAAACTGACTCTAAAGAGTTCCTAAGGCCATTTCCACAGGATGGGAGAACTTAAGGATGTTGCCATTGTTCTGGAACAATTGGAAACAGGCTAAGTCTTTTCATGGATGTTCTTAGGCCAAGATTTAGTTTATAAAATTAGGATCAAGGATATAAAAATACATAACTATGTCTGCTCCATATGGTGGACAGTGCCAAAATTCAATACATTTAAAATTAAAATTGCAGCATATTTGATTTTTTCCAAATTGACAAACATTAAAATACAATGACTTTAAGAACTTCTGTATCACAGCAGTTGGTATCATTGCAAAACTATTGAATTTTACATTGAAATTTAGTTGATTTTCTATAACTGCAATACACACCTCTTGAGAATACAAAAATAAGTGAGGTGACTGATTTGGAATAATACTCATTATTTTTATATTACTGTATTGATTTAACTAAAAGTAATCACAGCTCTTACACTATTAATTATATGAACAGATATAAAGTAATCAAAGCTGAAAAATATTTTTTTCTTAAAATGTTTT